CCAGAGACAGAGCGGGGAGCAGAACAGGCAGATCGAAAAAGTACACTGCTGAGGGGAGCAGTGGGCGGGTCAGGAGAGGTTTGCCACACCATGTGGATCTCCTCGGGGCAGGCGGGGATCGAACTCATGCGGAAGTGGCTTAAGCTTCTTAGTGCTGTGCTTTAACCCGCTGCGCCACCAGGGAGGGCCAACGCTGCTGTTTTTTTTAGGAGGCCTGAGCACATGCCAAGTTCATAATAACAAGTACAAAGATCTTGCCTCTCAGAGAAAATTTTGTATACAAGTGCCTATCTAGAATAAATCTGTGAACATTCCAGAATCTCTGGACTTTGGGCTACATGTGACAATAGCATCTTGTTTTCAGTATTTCCCAGGAAGCTAGGTAACTGTTTAATTTGAGATTCCATTCGCATGCGCTGGAACCTTAGTAATCACGTCATCTTGTGTCAAAAAGATTCCAAAATTCCTGAGGCATGTCATTGGCACTTAATTGCAATGTCCATATATTAAGTAACTTGTTTTAAGTGTAAGGAAAACTACAGTGCTCTCATATTATTTCAGGGAAAAAAATTAAAAAGGAAAGTTAAAACTGTTCATATAGGGAAAGCCTTCATTTTTCTTTTCTATTCTGAAACAAATATACATATGGGGGCCTTCCTGGTGGCTTGGGATTAAGTCTCAGCACTGTCACCACTGTGGCCTGAGTTCCATCCCCAGCCAGGCAGCTGACCCACATGGCACAGCACACTTCTCCTGCCTCACTCTCTGCTCCCCTCAGCAATGGATTTCAGTAGACCTGCTTGTTCTGCTCCCCACTGTGTCTCTGGTGAAGCCTCTCATAGCCTGTGCCTCTGGCTTAACCCCAGTTCCTCTGTGTGTGTGTGTGTGTGTGTGTGTACATATACATACGAGGATAAACTTTACAGATGGTGGATAAAGAAAATATGTTAAATAAGTACAACTATATGGCCCTAAGAAAGAAGAAACGCCTGTTATAGGCCACAACATGGCTGAATTTTGAGAATATTATGCTAATGGGATAAGCCAGTCACAGGACAAATCTTCATGCTACTTAGGTACAGTGCTTAGAGAGGCTGAACTCAGAAGAAAAGTAGAATAGAAGAAAGTCATGGCTGCCAGAGGCTGGAAGGAGAAGGAGGTGAGGAGTTGCTGTTGATTATGTATGGAATTTCAGTTACATAAGATGGAATCCTAGCAATCTGCTTACAACTTTATACTTACACAATACTATACACCTAAGAGATTTGTTAAGAGTGTTGACCTCTTGTTTTTAGCACCATTAAAAAAAAAAAACAATGAATTTTGGCTTCATAAAGTTATGTTATGAAATATTTGTGATTAGTTTTGCCTAAATCATTCACAAAATATATGCAAACACTACCAAGGAGGTCTTTGGTTGCCAACAACAAAGCCAACTTGAAAACCCAAAGCAAAAATGAAAGTTGCTGGAAACATGTCTAAGACACTGGAAACAGTCAAATAGTCAGGAAGCTGCAGGGACCAAGTATGGTATGAAACAAAAGACCTCAGGAGTTCAGAGCAGCAAGAACCACAGGAGCCAGTGTGACCCCCACTTTGCAGTTGTCCCCTTTTTGCCTGCAGTCTCAGCTATTGTCAGTAGCTGCACCACGGAACTCTCTAGGGGAAAGCATTTCTCCTTTAGATGCTAAAATCTTTCCATCAGCAGAGGATAGAGTCATGGGGATTAAAAGCAACAAAAGTGGAATTGTGAGAGGCACAATTTTCACCCCACTTTTGTTCCCATCTCATAGTTTCTGTTAATGGGGAAAAACACTGTCAACTCTGTTCCTCAGTAGCTCAGAACATACATTATATATCCCAAAGGACCATGCCAAAATCATACCAGGTGTCATTTCCTGGGTGTGGGTATGTGAAGCTTAGTAACCCCATCACAGTTTGTCCAGTGTTGTCCTGCTCTTGTCTACCTTGAAAGGAGCCTTGTACGCTACCCCCACAATCTAGGGCCAGATGTCTGTGGGTGACCACGACATAATGAACCAGGGAATCCCATGGCAGAACTCATGTCTTCAACTCTTCCTTCATTAAGTGAATTGCACCAAAGTGTGTGATATCATGAATCTCCAGAAGACATTCCAGAAGTTTCTGGATGGTGAATGCTAAAATGGCCTAAGTCCACAGTAATGCCTATTATGGGGAAGAACATAGCAGAATGGTTCCCCTAGAGTAGAGTCCCCTAGCCACGAAGTCAGCAGTCCCCTAGCTGCTGAAAATTGGCAATAACAGTCCAGGTAAGAGAAAATCTGTTCAGCCCACTCAATCCCACCGCCTCTGCTATAACCTCTTTGCTTGAGGTCCAAACTGGGGTAAAAATGCTTGCGGGTAACTACTCTATTGCATTGATTATTGGGCCCACCAGCCTGAGAAGCACTGTAGCCAGACAAATCAGCCACACTTCCTTCTGTGGAAGAATCTAGCAAAGTAGAAGGAACGGTACCTTCAGCTCTCTTTTGTGGAAAGAGGAAGGTTGAATGGAAATTCCATTTATGCCCTATAATAGAAGCCTAAACCTGAGGAAAGTTTCTCCTGATATCAACAGTTCAAGTCCCCACTTGGAACCAGTGATAATGAATTCATAGTGACACCAGCCTGCCTGGTTGAATAATTTTTCCCAGGAACACATAGCTGCATGCTGACAGTTCAGAGGTAGGACTGGAATATGGCACAAGGAGAAGGGCTAAGGGTTCAGATATTTCCAAGAGGACAATTATAATGATGTCTCATAGAATTAAGATATGGAGGGAGGTAAAGCCAGGGGGGTTATAATGGATGGAAATTGACGGAGTTGGTCAAGAGACAAATCTTTTTTTTGTTTAGAGATTTATTTATTTATGCTTACAGAACTGGGGTACAGGCCAGAGGTGTGGTGGGTGAGAGGATTCACCAGAGACAGAGTGGGGAGCAGAACAGGCAGATCATTGAAGTACACTGCTGAGGGGAGCTGTCGGTGGGTCAGGAGAGGTCTGCCAGGCCATGTGGGTCAGCACCCTGGCTGGGGATCGAACTCATGCTGCAGTGACTTCAGAGAACTTCCTAATGCAGTGCTTTAACCCCTTGCGCCACCAGGGAAAACCCAGGAGACAAATCTTAATGGAACTAAGGAATTATCACAGTGAAAATGTGCTGTAAACAGTAAGATTTTTGTCAAATCATGGACTGCAAATTTGCAGTTTTGGAAGTAATAAATATTTCTTATGATGAAAAGGAAGTGGATGATGAGAAAGGCAGAGTGGAGGAGCCAGTTTGTTAGAGATGGTGATGTCAAGAACAGGTGACATCACACCACATAGCCAAATGGATGCTTCAATCAGTGCAAGCAAATGACAGAAAAGCAAAGCTGAGTGCTTCGGCCGCAGGACATGGGAGATGACCCAGCAGCTGGCAGATGACAACAGATGAGAACCAGATGGCATAAACTCAAAGAAGCTGGAGGGATGTTTACAGAAGGGCTTGGGAGAGAATAATTTTATGTAAGAGAACTGGGGAAGCAGAAAGTACCTCCTCCTGCTCTGGGTGACATGAGGCCACCGCTGGGGAAAGTGTGTCCCCAGAAACCAGCTCTTTTCAGTAGAGGCAAAAAATGGAGGACACATCTGAGAGGAGACTTTGACAATAAGATTGTAGAAACAGCCATTTTTTTTATAATCAAAATTAGCTCTTCTGCTTGGAAAGGGCAAAGAGGTTGCTAAAAGCTTTTGGTGCTGGGATTATGGTGATGGCACACGGGTGACTTGGTGATGGGAAACCCGTGGGGATTACAATTGAGATGCAAAAAAATGTACAAAATGATGTAAAAATAAACTGTTGTAAAAAAAAAATTCACATTAAAATACTTCTACATTTAAAAAAAAAAAAAGCTTTTGGTGCTGATCCATTCCTAAATCACCCTCACCATCACACTGGGTATTGGGGCACATATCCCCTTTACAGGTCTTCCCAGATGGTAGTCTCATAACTCAATTCACCCATAATATAGATGAGACCAGACTGACATCCTTCACTTAGTCTCCCATCTTCATCCTTCCCTCCATCTCAAACTCTGCCCTCACCAAACCTTTCTCTGTGTCTTTTTTTTTTTTTGAGATTTATTTATTTATGCATACAGAACTGTGGTACAGGTCAGAGGTGTGGAGGGTGAGAGGATTCACCAGAGACAGAGTGGGGAGCAGAACAGGCAGATCGAGGAAGTACACTGCTGAGGGGAGCAGCGGGAGAGACAAGAGAGGTCTGCTGTGCCATGTGGGTCACCTCTGGGGCCAGGGATCCAACCAGCACTGAAGCGGCTGCCGCTAGCTTGCAGTGTTGTGCTTTAACCCACTGCGCCACCAGGGAGGGCCATCTCTCTGTCTAGTTTTAACCACAGTGATGTAATAATTATGCTATTAAACACTTAAAAACAAATAATCCTAAAACAGTGCCAGAAGGCCGGTCAGGAGAGGTCTGCCACACCATGTGGTCACATCCGGGGCAGGCGGGAATCTAACTCATGCGGAAGTGGTTTCAGCTTCTTAGTGCAGTGTTTTAACCCGCTGTGCCGCCAGAGAGGGCGGAACCACTCTTTTTTTTAATGATGTGTTTATTTCTGCATACAGAACTGAAGTACAGGCTAGAGGTGGGGGGGATGAGAGGATTCACCAGAGAGTGAGAAGCAGAAAAGGCAGATGGATGGAGTGAAATACACTGCTGAGGAGAGTAGCAAGTGAGACAGGAAAAGTCTGCCATGCCATGTGGGTCACCTCCCTGGCCAGGGATCACACTCCTACACAGCTGATAGGCAGTGCTGTGCTTTACCCATTTTGCGCCACCAGTGAGGGCCCCTGACTCACAACTTCTAATGAAATCTCATCAAGGTTTCCAGATTTTATCTTGGTGCTATTGTTTGTTAGAGGGGTAAAAGACCAGCTTGTCCCTTTATGACTCTTTCTCTATTTCTCTTTCAGGTCAATAACTCGATCTTACTACCGCAATTCGGTTGGTGGATTTTTAGTATTTGATATTACTAACCGCCGGTCTTTTGAACACGTGAAAGATTGGCTAGAAGAAGCAAAACTGCACGTGCAGCCATTTCGGATAGTGTTTCTGCTGGTGGGACATAAATGTGATCTAGCTTCACAACGTCAAGTCACAAGGGAAGAAGCTGAAATACTGTCTGCAGACTGTGGTATGAGGTATATAGAAACCTCAGCAAAAGATGCCACAAATGTTGAGGAATCCTTCACCATCTTGACAAGAGAGATTTATGAACTGATTAAGAGGGGAGAGATTTGTATTCAGGATGGTTGGGAAGGGGTTAAAAGTGGGTTTGTTCCTAACACGGTGCATTCCTCTGAGGAAGCTGTGAAGCCCAGAAAAGAGTGCTTGTGCTGACTTCCCTCAGGCCAGAGGGCTAAGGGGAGCAGAGAAAGGGCTTTCATTCCTGGAGAAATGCCCATTCTCAGCAACCTTGCACTGAAAGCACCCAGAGAAGGCTAAGCACCCGAGAACACTCCTTTGTTCAGGTGTTTGATTCAGGGCGTTGTGCTGATTTGTTCCACTACCATTTGTGGTAGCTCATGAAATTCTCTGGCAAAACAGACAACTTTTCCTTGAAACTGGGGTAGCTGCAGAATTACCCGTTTTCATTTTTTAGCAACAGGCTGACCTTAATGTCCAAATATGTCAGTGTTACTCACTTTCCTTGACAGGTTTGGAATGGATTTTTTGTGCACTTCTGTTCAGCTTGAAAAGATTTTTATAAGAAAATACAGTCTCTTGAGTGAATTTATGAATATTGAATAGTGAGGTGGACTTAAAAGTGTATTGTTCACTTACAAAGTCAACAAATCTCAGAGATGTCAACTGGGACTGACATCGTGGTTCCTTGTTTAAAGACCATGTTTTTAGCCATTCCCTGAAGTATTTATTCCTCTCTTAATTTTGCCTAAACACAAGAAAAATCAATTTTATGCTCATTTTTGTTCTCTGATTTCTTGCTCTTGAGAATTTTGTTTTATAAAAGATATCTAAGGATCAAAGCAAAATATTTTATCACAAATATTTATAAAAATTAAAAAGAAGGTGCACTATCAGCAAAAAGTTTTGACTTTGTAGTGTACTATCTTACTGAAACAAGAAAAACAAATGTATTTATATACTGACATTTTCAGAGAGTTAATGCAATTTACCTTGAATTATTGTCTAAACTATCAATGTAGGGAAAAACAGAATTTTTTTTTTTTAGTAGTAGCTTTTTGTCCAAGTAAATTTTCAAACTTTCCCATTTTCAATAGTAGAAGAGATTTTTCTGGGCAAGGGAAATCGGTTGGATGTTTGATATACTTAGCATTCCAGTTACATTTTCCACCTCATCTGTAGAAGTAAAAGTAGTATAATGAGTTAAAGCTCTAAGATGATTTGTTTCCTAACTTTTAATTCATAGATTGAATTCCCCTCTTGTAAGGGACATTGATTATAATGTGAAGTATTTTACAATGTACTTTTCTATTCTGTTTTGGAAACCATTTTTTATCACATGACACCAAAAGCAGCTGCCTTTTTGGAATCAAAACATTTTTACTGTATAACTAAGTTGCTTCATATCTTTGCAAAATCGAAGTGGTATAGTAGAGACAATATTTAATGAGAAAATCAGAAAACCACACTCCTCTTTGCAATACCATGATTCACACACTGGAAAGTTATGACATAAACATATCCAGGCTTCCCTTCTCTCACCAGTACAATTGTATTTTATGGAATCATTTTGACAATCAAATGAATCACATAAAAAGCTTTGTACATAGGAAAAACATTATGCAAGTGTGAGTTTGATACCAGCTGTTCTTGGGCATACTATTATAATTGCAATAGATGAGAATTTCCTTTGTTCGTCGTTCATCTTCTTTCCTTTTTCCTTTCATTCTCATAGAGAGGGAGCAAAAGGAGATGCATGGACCTGAGGAAGTTCTCAGTTTGATGCATAACCTCTGTTCCCTCACCTGGAAACAGCTGCTCCAAAGTAGAAGAGAGAGGGAGGACATTCTCAGGAGACTGAGTTCAAGCAAAAGTCATGTTTATATGTGGCTTTTGTGTACCTTTTAAGTCTTAATGTTTAAATACTTGCGCATTTTGTAGGTTTCTGTAAGTATTTTTAATCGTGCTTCTGGAGAGGCAAATATAAATTATAATAGCACTATAACATTATTGAATATTTATATTGTCAAAATTTTAGTTGAGTGAGTTCAAACTATAATTGACCAGATAAGAAAATACCTGTCCTCCAAAATGTGAAGTTGCCTATTTTTACTGCTATAATTTAAATTTTATAGAATAATATTCCATCAGTCCAAAATGTTACAAACCTAAACACACTGAGTAGTTAATCACTGTTTAAAAGTGTAGTCACCTAAAAAAAAAAACAAAAAACAAAAAAAACAAAAACAGAAGTGTAGTCACCTGTGCCTACTGGTAAACTGAAACAGCTAAAATGTAAAATGTGATTTAACTTTCAGGGGACACCCTTTATAATACTAACATTGGGGTAGAATTAATATTCGGGGTAAAAGTTCTGATATGTTCCAAGATTTAGAACAGATAAGGAACTAGAAGAAACGTAGGAAGAGGGGATAGTTTCCCAAAAGTTGATATTAACCAAGGTCACAGAGGAAGAAGCTAACCTAGAAGTCTGGTTCTTATACTTTGGTTAGCATTCCTTCCATTACCACATGAAGGGCAGAGACTGTGTGTGTGTGTGTGTGTGTGTGGGTGTGTGTGTGTGTGTGTGTAGTGAAAGAGGAAGTGTGAAGTCATAAAATACAATATAAAATTGGGTGAAATCATTTTGATATTGTAGTTATGTGTGGCAAAACAATATTAAAATGAACAATACTACAGGTACCTGAATACCTGAACTCTTACACAAGAATGCCAAATGTCTGTAAAACCTTAACCAGATAGCTCTAGCCACACACTATATATATATAATAGCTGACCTATTTTCTTAATAGATCTATAGAGAATATGGATAATAATGCCAAAATAGTAAAAATATGTGCTCCAGGCAAAATAGTTTGTTTCTTAGAAATAAGATATGCTTAATTTTATATTGAAATGACATCACTTAAAGTATATTCAATTTGAACTTAAACCTCATTAAAAGTTTTAAATATAATGATGTACCTAATTGCTAATAATGTTTAATAAATGTGATAAAAAGAATGAAAAGCAGGGTCCTCCCTGGTGGTGCAGGGGTTAAAGTCTCAGAGCTATCAAGCTATGCCAGCCACTTCTGTGGGAGCTCTGAGTTGGCTCCCCAGCCAAGGAGCTGACCCATATTGCCAGAGATATCTCTCCTTTCTCACCTGCTGCTCCCTTCAGTATTTCAGTAGATCTGTCTGTTCTGTCCCCTACTCTGTCTCTGGTGAATCCTCTCACCACCACCCCCAACTTCTGGCCTACACCCCAGTTCTTGTAGGCTTTAAAAAAAAAAGTGAAAGATTATCCAGTTGTCCGACAAAAATTGCTTATCTTGATTTGTTTACCTTTGCAGGTGCATGTAGGACATGATGGCTGTAAAACCTTAACCAGATATCTCCAGCCACACACTATATATATAATAGCTGACCTATTTTCTTAATAGATCTGCATGCTTAGGTCAAGGTGGCTAATGGTCAGAGTGCTCTGAAATGTGGTCTTGAACAGTAGCAAATAGATTGCTTGAGCCTGGAAATACGAGTTTCCAAAGTCTCAAAGTATTCTGTGATTCTTACTTGTTTTAACTGTTAACTAGTCTTTTTCTGCAACCTCCATCATCCCAAAGCTGAATCTATCTGTTTAAAAAGGTCATGAGAATAGTGCCTTTGTCAGATTTTACATTGTCCTCAGTTGAGTTAATCCAAGCTTCCAGGGTTTTGAAAGAGTGTTCTAGATTTCAGTAATTTCCTTAGGTCTGACATGGTGAGCAGGATTTCAAAGACTCCATTTCACAAGCTAACTTGATCCTCAATAATGGCCTGGAAAGATTGTCAGAATGCAAAGGAAGCATGTAATCTGTAAGGAAAAAAAAAATAGAAAGGCTCTAAAGCCTTAAAGATAGATACTTGGTGGTTTGAAATATTTGAATATATTCTCACCACAAACTAACTCTTGGAAATTCCAAAGTTGATAAAATGGCCTTTTTAGCCCTAGCTGTTTCAGAGTCTTCCTAATTCCCAACATTTTCACTAAACTTTCCTGAGCGACAGCTCTTCATCTGATCTTAAAAACTGAAAACAAACAAACAAAAACTCTTCTGAACATAAATATACCATTGCTTGGTATTCCTATAGCCTTCCTAACTGATGCCAGTAGACATTTGAGTGAAGAGCTGTGACAGTCTGTATGAATCATTACACAGTCTACTTCATTTTCTACACTTACTCATGCTATAAAGACATGAATAGGGAAAAAAAGATATTTTAAAAATTAATGTTACTTGTTATCTGTTTAGGTATATTTGTTGTCATATATTTTTAAGAGTGCCGAAAATATTGCCTTCTCTATATTAGTTAGTGACTACTCATTATGTTGAATTAATGCTATTTCCGGTGGGTTTCATATACTTGGTTTTAATTTACACATTCCATGTAGAAACAAACTTTGCTGCTATGATCTCTTAGCTTTTCTTGTTTTCCAGAATGACTACCAGTGGAAGAAATATATGGTATAATTTCTTTGACATTTGTTATTAGTGTTAATTGATTTTGAATAATTAAAAAAAAGAACTATGATTTTCAGAAGATTGGTTAGTCTCCATCTTTAATGGTGCTTTTGAAACAGAAGCCACTAACTGCAATTCTATCTTGCAATTCTAACAAAATGCAAGTAAGAATGGGTGATATGAAATCCCACATCACATGATAGCCTGGTGGACTGTGGGGCAGAACCCCATCATTAGAGAGTGTATTTATGCAAGAAAGTGTAAGAATATTAACACTAGGGCCTCCCTTGTGGCCTAGGGGTTAAGTCTCAGCACTATCACTGCAATGGCCTGAGTCTGATCCCTAGCCAGGGAGCTGACCCACATGGTGCAACAGACCTTTCCTGTCTCCCCCACTGCTCCCCTCAGCAGTATATTTCTTCAGTTCATCTGCCTGTTCTGCTCCCCACTCTGTCTCTCGTGAATCCTTTCACCCCTTGTACCTCTGTAATGCACAAAAGTTAAAAAAAAAAGAATATTTACTTTAAACAAAACAAAGTTTATAAATAACCGATCCTTAGTTCAGATCACATTTTTGCCACCAATGTTATCAAAAGAATTCCACTGATAGATGTTTGGAATGGTGATGCTGATGAGCACCTGGTTCTCCCTCAGTGGCAAAGACTTAAATGTGTGAATGGCTTCAAAGTTTGTAAATGTGGTTGAGTCTTGAACAGTGTGGGGGAGCAGGGGTACTGACACTTGCTCCCCTCACCCCACTACTCCCTTCAGATTTCAAAGAGCCTAGATGCTATTCCCCTTGAAGATGCTCCATGTCCCTGACTTCCCCATGCCTGAATTCATGTGGAATGAGGCATGAGGAACCCACGGAGATGGAGGTTCAACTATCTTTATGAGTAAAATCTGCCTATATGAGTGGACCTGCACACTTCAGACTTGTGTTTTTCAAGGGTCAAATGGACTCCCTTCAACCAAAACCCCACAGAGGATCTCTGCAATGAGCAGTCTGGACAGTCTAAAAGGACCCTCGCGGGCCCTCCCTGGTGGTGCAGCAGGTTAGAGCACAACACTAAGAAGCTAAAGCCACTTCAGCATGAGTTCGAACACGCCCTAGTGGTGATCCACATGGCGTGGCAGACCTCTCCTGACCCTCCCGCTGCTCCCTCAGCAGTGTTCTTCGTCAGTTGGCCTGTCCTGATCCCTACTCTGTCTCTGGTGAATCCTCTCACTGTCCCTGCACCTCTGGCCTGTACCCCAGTTCTGTATGCACGAATAAATAAATCTAAAAAAAAAAAAGGACCCTTGCTCCACCCTCTGGCCTGCACCATGTCCCTGGACTCACAGTCTCCTCTCACCCTGACGCACTTCTTTAGGACTGTGTGCATCTAAGGGCATCTAAGGCTATCACCTGGGTTGTTCTGAGGTTTGGGCCCCTGGAAACACGAACACTTCAAAAGGCTCAGTCATTTCATGTGTGTGATGGGGATGATATTGAGAACCAGGACACTTCCCAAAGGAGATTCTGAATAGAGCCTTACATTTGCTCCAGGGTATTTTACCTGTGACTTTGGTCTAGGCTTTGAGTGACAGATCAACCAAAACTTGTATCAGAGTGCTACTCCCATAATGAACAGATGCCTCGGAAAGCATTCACTAGATGATGAAAAGCAAATGCAAGCAATTCTTTCCTGAAAACTTCAGAAGGAATTTAGTGCTGCCAACACCTTGACTGTGGACGTCTGACCTCTGGAATTGTGAGGGAAATACATTTATAGTGTTTAGTCGTCATGTTTATGGTAAATTGTTTCAGGATCAGCAGGAGTCTAAAACAGGCCCATGGAGTTTCACTGTACTATCTTCACTACTTGGTGAACATTTTTATAACAAAGCCCTTGTAAGAACAAAAGAAAGCCAGCATTAAAAAACCCTGGTGGTGCAGCTGGTTAAAGCACAGCACTGTAAGCTAGCCGCAGCCACTTCAGTGCGAGTTCCATCCCCAGCCTGGAGGTGACCACATGGCATGGCAGCCCTCTCCTGTCTAACCAGCTGCTCCCCTCAGCAGTGTACTTCATAGATCTGCCAGTTCTACTCTCCACTCTGTCTCTGGTGAATCCTCTTGCTGCCCCGTACCTCAGTTATGTATGCATAAATAATTTTTTTTAAAAAAAGCAGTGGTCTTAAAAAAATGTAATATGGGTTGCTAAACAGGTGGCAAACTTTTTTTTTTTAATTGTTCTTTGCTGTGCTCCATGTTTCCCCCAAATACAAAGTAAAATTGGTTTGTCAAGTTTCAGTAAAAAGGGATCATGCAACTATTTTATCAGAATTGTTTTGAAAACACAAATTAATTTGGGGAAGTCATCTTGAAGGGAGGTGTAACAGGATGGTTCCTGCTTGTTGGAGTGGATCACTGTATAGATCCTGTGGGGTAGATCGTAGTCTCTTCTAAGGGGCAAGAGTTAAAGAGATGCTCAGCCACCCCACCTGAGTGTGCAAATTTTAGTTAGAAAAATTCAACACTTGATCCCCTTTTGAAATTATTCTCCAATATACTCATATCATAATATAAATATTCTAAGCCCTGTTTTCCTCCCTTATATATTTTTTCAACTGCTTTTTAATCAGCATTTCTAATTATATCCTCTGAAATCACTAATGCATTTAGGTAGATAGCTGAAGAACATATGTAGAGTGATTCTGAGTATTTTGAAGCATACCTGGAAGACGA